TATTCAAATGTCTGTGGTTTTACCGTATTTGAGAGCTTTTAGCCGAGCTTAAGGTGTATTAATGGTGCTGCCTACTTTTAAGCGCAGCTTAAATCACCGAATGTACCTAACATTCAAGCTGCATTACCTTACATTCATATGAATGCTACTAAAAACGCTATCTAAAGTTGTTTCACTACGTATTAACTATTTGTATGCCGCCAGCGATAATATTTAAATCTCTAAGTGACATGCAAATCAGTAAAATAGTATTGTTTCCACAGTTGCCAATTTTTTGTTAAACATTTTCACAATAATCGCAGTCGGGCTAGTTGGTCAATGTCAGAGTGTCAAAATGTACCATAAGCCAGGTGATAAGCAATTAAATTACAGGCGTGATCTGCCTGCCAAGGTGCCAATTTAACAAGCCCAATCGAAGCTATTGACCTCTTGGCGCCAATTGCACGTGACAAGGTGCGGATTAGCCAAAAGCCATGGGAAAGCCCATGCAATTATTTGTTTTCTTTGCTTTTATGACATTGCTAAAAAATGTAGCAAAAAGTGATGGAGACGGGTGATTGCATCACTTGCTCTGACAACCTGGAGGTACTGAAAAAAGCTGTATAAGAAACCAGGAATGCACCAACAAGTGTGAAAATAAACGCCAATAAAACATAAATACAAAAAATCAATAGCGAACATTAAACTCGTTTGTTTGGCGTTTAAAGAAAATAAAACGCTGGTTAATAATTCAAGCCGAACGTTGCGCAATCCCAGGCCTCACGAGTGGGACAACTTTTGCCGGTTCGACAGCTGTTCAATCTCGGCTGGATTTTATTTATATTGTTTTTATGGGCTAGTCGGTAAGGAAGCAGCTTCAATTTAAAATATCGCAATCCGCAGACACGAATTTTGGTAATTTCCGCACGCAACTTTTACGCCCAAATACATGAGAGATGAACATGAATGATATTTCGGATATACGGTTATTGTCCAACATGCAACATTGAAACCTTGAGGGAGAAAGATTATAATAATAATTATTAGTCACATAACAGTTGAATTTGCATATTCATGTTTTCGTAAACTGCGGCAATTAAGTGACTTTAAGATGACAAATGAGTATTAGAGATGCAAGCGTGAGATTGTTTTTATTTTTATATTTTAGGTTTACAAAAGAGTGGTAAAGGTATTGTAATGTAAGAGAATGGTAATAGCACATACAAATAGAATTACCCTTATGTCCTACTTAGTGTCACGAAATGTATTTTCATGGGTCCAATCACTGGACCACCTCTATGATAAGTATTAATTGGGGAGACTGCGTAACAGAAACTTGCAACCAGAGTGCACGCGACAAGCCCCACAGGAAGGGGGGTTGTGGGGCATGGGCAGACCCGGTGGCCCGAGGCATTGGAGCACGAAGAGACCGAAAACCGGACAACACCCGTGACAATGAAGGGGCAAGGCAGTGTCGACGGTCCCAGGCAGACAACTCCAACTCCCGGTGCTATCGAACCACGTCTGCGTAATACCAGAAGTAGTCAACAGGTGAACAACTTCGGGGGAGCTCTGGTGGAGCTCGAAGCAGGCTAGGCCATACAGACATACCACATATGTACATATGTATGCGTGCCAGCGTGTGTGTGGCGCAACGTTCATAAACATAAACAACCTGGGAATCGGTGGCGTTTACGCGGCAAACGAAAGTAAAATGTAAGGTAACATAAAAGCACAAATATCAATACAACAAATAAAACATCCCAAATACTCGGTCAAGTGGTGGAGCTTCATGTGCACTACACTTGGGAAAGTTGGCTAGTACCTGCAGTAATTAAACCCGATGAAGCTCAACGGGTTGAGTGTCTTTTATACATTTAATCGTTAACACATTGGGCATTGACTATAGGAAAATAGCTTTCTTTTTTCTACATTTTTTTCTTTGAAGCACCTTAATAAATTAGCGTCGTTACTAGTAATTTCGTGATTTATTCTTGAGAAAGAACAATTCTTTTCAACACCAAAACGTATGCTACATTTTAGATGTAACATCTCTTATTTTCATTTATCGCCTTGTCTATAAAACAATTAATAATATGCCGATTCCTTTAAAACGCATTGCTTTCGAAACATTTTTCATCTACTTTTTTCCCGTCGTCACTTGGCAGGCGGGCAAACGGGTAGTACCGAAATTGCGGAATTCGTAACGCCAGTGCGGGGGGCAAAAAAAAGTGTATGTAAAACTGGCCGCAAAAGCAGCACACGAAAAACACAACTATTGTTGGCCATCATGGCCCTCGATGGTTTCGTTCGGCTTCTCTCGTGGCTATCCCGGCACTTGGTCTCGAGCCATCGCCGCCAACGGTCGCGCTCAACGGATAGCAGATTCACGCCACGGATTTAAGTGCCGATCCAAAGGATACCCCTTGCCTTAGTTTCGTTTGCCTGCAAAAATGGTTAGCACAGCATACTGGAAGTTGGCCGTTAGCTTGAGCGTTTTCGGTTTTATCTGCCTGATACCAAGCTCCCACGGGGCGTATACTCGCGAAATTGTTAACGACAAGTTGCCGTTGCAGGAGAGGCGTAAGTAACGTTGGCCGACAGACAACAATTTTGAAAATGATTAAGCAAACTAAAAAATCAATTTGACCGATTTTACAATGAATCTATAATGGAGGATCACATATAAGGCATTACAAATGCATGTATCAAAAACCCCAATTTGGAAAAAGTAATTTATAACCCAATCCTTTGCCTTCCAGCCCCGTGGTTGCAGACGTGCAAACGCTCTAATCCGAATGAGGACAAGTGCTTTCGGCAACTCTTCGAGGGATGCTTTCCGGCACTAGCCGCCGGAATTCCGGAGATCGGTGTGAAGAGTTTCGAGCCCCTAAACATTGACCAGGTGTCGGTGTCCAAGGGCAGTGGCAACCTGGTGCTCTCCGGAGGATTTCAAGATCTTGTCATCCGAGGACCGTCTAACGCGACTGTGCGACGAGCCAGGTAATTATTTGTACATCACTGAAATTCCCTTTTTTTTTTAATTAAATTAAACTAGAGAAACCAAATAGCTAATAACACACAATCATTTTAATCCGCTACTGTTTAGCTTGGATCTTGAGCGGCGGCTGTTAAACTTCGAGCTGGAGCTACCAAGGCTTAGAATCCGGGCCAAGTACAACCTGAAGGGAAATATCCTACTTTTGCCTCTTGTGGGCAATGGAGATGTGGCTATGGCGCTAAAGCACGTACACACAACCGTGTACACAAGGATCTCTCTACGGAACGAGACCCGCACGGGCGACGAGATCATCCATATCGACGAAATGAAGGTGGGCTTCGATGTAGGCGCCATGAGAATCCACCTAAAGAATCTATTCAACGGAAACGAAATTCTGGCAGCATCGATTAACTCATTTCTTAATCAAAACGGCAAGGAGGTGATAGCGGAGCTGCGTCCAGACTTGGAACTGGGACTGGCAGACATCTTTCATGGACTGTGGAACAATGTCTTCTCCAAAATGCCCACCAAACTTTGGCTGGTTTAGTGATCTTCAGGATCACGTCTGCCGTTTTTGTATTATATTCATAATTTATTTCGCTTTTAATTGTGTGCTTATTTGGTAGGCTACTGTTTGTACTATGACTAAAACATTAAGATAGACAAAAAATATGCTTCACTCGATATATTACTTGGGAAGCAGATCATCGTAGCTAAAAGAAGCAAACAATTTATCCACGGAGGCCCTCAAAATATCCACCAGCGCCTTGGTCATCAACGGACGCACTTCATCGGCCAGAGCCTTCCAGTTCTCGTTGAGGAACTCATTCATGCGATCGCCCAAAGCCTTGTCCCCGTTGAAAAGGTTATCCAAATGAATGTGGACATCAGATAGCTCGTACTTGACCGTAACAGTGTTGATCTTCAAAAAGTTCGCTCCATTCTTTTTATACTCCTGTCCAATCAGCTCGGTGCGCATGGTGATGTTAACTGCAGGATTATTACAAATGAATATATATTATATCAAAGGTCGGAATCTTTTAGCTTACCCAGATCCACCTTGCAATGGCCATCGCCCAGAAGTGGCATCATCATAATTTTTCCCTAAAAGAATAGAATAGTTTTATTTAAGCTAGTTTAGTGTACATTTTCGAAAAGACAGACTTCATACTTCTCTACTGACCTTAATGCTGTAGTCCGATTCCATATGCAGCTTTGGAAAGGTCAGAGACACAATGAACTTTAGTTTTGAAGGCTCCAGACGCAGCTCATTGACCGTGTGCTTGGAGATGCCTGTGACTTTGACGTTTCGGTACACCGAATGCAAGTAGATGGCCCCGGAGTCCTGGTCCATCTTGACTTGAGGAACAACCAGTGGCTCCATGGCCGGTATATACAGCTCAGGTATACCCTCCATAAGTCGTGGACGCAGTGCTTCATAAGATTCTCGAACGCAAGTGTCTAGGTCGGGTGCATTACGATGGCATACCTTAAGAAAAGATGCTAAAAGTACGAACAACAAAATTATTTTATGATCCCCATATAAATTATAGTTTAATTTAAAGAAATTGTAACAATACTGAGTTAGTTATACGGAAATGATTAGACATACAAAATTAATCTATAACTTGATTTTTATCTACGTACGCAGCTGATCCGGCTTTTTCGCCTGAGGTTTGGCAGTTGTCCACTCTATAAGTGATACTACTCCTAGGACCAAAAGCAAGCCCGTCAAACAGTATTGGTTCATTTCGTGTTTCCTTGCGATCTCCTTAAAGCTCTGACAGTGGTCACCGGCTTTCGGCTTGTGGTGGCTACCCAGTTGCTCGATTCGCTTTTATAGCCACGTCTGGCATGGCCAAAAGCCGACTAATTCTCTGTTCTGCCGCATGTGCAATTTCCCGTGACATTGCAATCCTCAGCAAGTTTTATTTCAATTGACCAAGCCAAGCTATATACAGCTGTTTATACAGAAATTAAGCGGTCTGTTATATAGATATATATTTATATATGTACAAGTTTTTGGTTTGTCTTTTAGCCAATAGAATAATACTTTCAAACGAAGAAACAAAGAAAAAACTAACTATATTAGCTGTTGTGTAAATGCTTTTGAAAATATCAAAATTAAATTGTGAGAAATTTAAGCTAAGCTTAACGACCTGTTATATACATCATATACATAGCGCATGTACTATTTATATATATACTAGCGAATAAATATATACCAAGTGTTGATATAGCAATTTAAACATCTGGAAAGCAGACCAAAACCAAATGCACCATTTCACAATACCGCGAACAGAAATTAAGTAATGTAAACATCTGGGTTGTCCAGTTGAAAAGCGGAGTTAGTAAAAATACTTCCTTTTATAATAAGGATTGTCATTTAATTCAATGCTTATAACACATAGCGCATAAACATATTACTAAACTAAATAAAATTCATTCACATTTTTATACAACTAATAAAGCTTCAAAAATTGCCAATTGAGATAACAAAATAAAACTGAAATACATATTTCATTAATTTTGAATGGAAATATTGATAAGATATTGATTAAAATCAAATATAAATTTCTGATCGACCAGAATACACACTAATAGTGATCAATGTCCATTTCTCTAACAAGCCTGTTAAAAGAAATGACTGATTAGTAAATACCTAAAGCAGTATTTAATATTTACTTACATATTGATAATCCTTTCTGCCTCTTCAATAGCGTTTATCGTGCCTTGAGAGTCAAATGTATCTGAGCTGGGTAAGCCATAGCTCATAGTTAGGCGGTCCATCGCTGAGCCTAGCTGAAGAATCGGAAGTTGTGTGGCGGAGTTTGGCGTCAACATTTGTAAATGAATGTCAAATATCTCTTTCTTGATGTCGCAAAATTTTTGTAGGAGCACCGGTATGGACTCCTTGCTTTTATAATAAAGGTAGTGTAGGCTATCGATGGTCTTGGACAGGGATCTAGCCTCGCCCTTATTATATAACTGGGAACGAGTGGTTGCGAAATGTTCGGCGATCTTCCTCAACTCTGACGGTGAAATTTTCGCGCCATTGCAGAGGTATTCCTTATAAAATCGAGTGCTAAGAAGTTAAAAAGAAAAAGAGTGCTTTATATTGGGGTAGACATTTTATATAAATACCTTACCAATCGAATAGATCTTTCTCGCACACCCCCTTCAGTAGTTGATTGGTGCTTTTCACCATGCTTTGGGCTCCACGCAAGCAGCTGTCCAACAAAGACGTAATGGATTTTGCACTTTGTATAACGGCATCGTAGGTGTGGGTAAGCTTCTCCCACTGTATGCTTCTGTTAAGCTGGAAGAACACTTAATTACTATGGGAGTAACTAAAATAGTGGAAATTGGTACCGTAAAGGATGGGATCTTAGCTTGGGCTTCTTTTTGCAAACTTTTAAGCTGATCGTAGGCAAAAGAGATTAGGCAACGCTGCTTATCAATCTTGTCTATGAACGAATATTCGATTATTTCGTCTTCCAGTGAAAGCGCACGCTCGTTTATTCCTGACACAAACATTTCAAAGTTAGCTTGCTCCTTGGTAAGCATGTGGAGCATATCCAATACCACACGTTTTTTCAGCCATCTTTCCTCCGACTCAATCTTGTTTGTAATAAACTTCCGAGCGAGAACCGATAAATTGGGTTCTGGTTGACTGTAGTCACACTTTTCCTTGCCCTGGAAGATGTACAGCATCACAGGTGGATTGCTGCACTTATTCAATTTTCGTGAATCTTTGCTTGTGTCAGTCCACTCTTCCACATACAAATCCAATGGCGTACTTTCAGGCGTAATCTTTTTGTGCGGATGGGAAGTGGGCAGCACGGAGTACAGATCCTTTCCGTCCATTCCGGTGTCCCGGACAATCAAGGCAATTAGATCCTTCATAGTCATCTCTGCCGAGACCGCATACTCGAGTCGTTTGCAGTAATTAACAGCAAAAATAGTTAGCACCTTCATATTGAGTATTTTGTCCAGCTCAGCGAAGACGACTGGAACTGATTGCACTTCATCAGTTGCTAGTTGGCCCCGTTCCTTGTAGCTTGAGTTAAGCGACCTGCGCAGCCATTTTGTGAACTCATCAGCCCAGGGCAGCGACAAATGGTGCTCCTGTGGCAGTTGGAACTGATTCACGAAACGATTACTATTCTCTGGATCCTCCGTGATAGCAATACAATCGGCGGGCTTATTAATCAGATTGACTAAAATATTTGCTGGGGTTTGATGGGGGATGAAAGGCAGTTCACCAATGGCCAGCTCGTAGGCAATTATTCCGACGGACCAGAAGTCCGCAGCCGAGTTGTAACAACCCTTCGCAACCACTTCTGGGGCGAAGTAGTGTCGGGTGCCCACCACGCTCTGCACCATGGTGTGGTCGGGAGTTCTTCGAGCGAGTCCAAAATCGGTAAGCTTATAAACTTTCTTGCCATCAGTTCCTTGTTGGATTACTATGTTGTCCGGTTTTAAATCACGGTGGCAAATACGACACTGTGAATGCAGGAAATGCACGGCCTGGCGTAGGGCTCCCAGGATCTGTCGCACCTCGAATTCCGTCAGACCATTAGCATTCTCCGGGCTCTGCAGACGTTTCCTCACGTCTCCACCGTTGCAGTATTCCAACACAATCACAGGCAACTTGGCAATGTTTGGGAACATGGCATTCAAGTATTTCAAAAAAGCCGGATCCTCGTTGTCCAGGATCACGCCAGCCACAATGTGAGGAGAGCATTGAAACTGGCGGGACCAGTTGAACTCCTTGTTCCAACGTTCGCTAATCTTGACTTGCTGATCGGCACCCTGGGAATCCAACTCCTTTATGTGCTTGGTGGCTAATTGAAAGATAAATAAACACTATAGACTGGATGACGATTTAAAATATCTGCGACGCAGAGTCTGGTTGAGTCAGCCGAAAGGCTATAAGCTATCTTAGCGAGGACCACACACGCGGAAATTCGCGCGGGTGGCCCCGCTTTCAGTATCAGTAATGCACCGGGAGATGCTTGCATCAGCCCCGATTCTAAGAATTCCACATGCTTACTCAAACAAAAATAATCATTTCCATTTGTACATATGTACATACAAATGTATATTTGTGTAAGCCTGTGGGCAACACCTCAGATGTTTATAAGTATGTATGTGGCTCACCAATTTCTCGGCCAGTACTGCGGTTTCGCCAGTGATTCACTTCGCCGAATCCGCCCTGACCCAGTTTTCCGCACCACTCCCATTTCCCAAAGGAGTACATCGTGTTGTTCTTGTTAAGATTTCTTTTATTTGCGGAGTTCATTTTTCTAAGAATCTAATCTCCATGGCACAGGAAAAATCAAAATTTTGCAGCGATCGTTTGAGATGGGCGATAGTCGACATCTCGTGCTTTTGTAACAGCGTGCAGCAGCATTTGCGGTCACAAAAGCTGCAGAACGTGCCCAGCAGCTAACACTTTAAAATAAAATTAATATTTTGCATTAAGCTGCACTTAATACAACTTTTTTTAAATTTCAGTTTGCTGCTTTTAATCATATGAAAACCCGTTCAATAATTAATTGTCAACTGGTTCTTAAAGTCTGGAACATTTTGTACCGATTTCCTTCGCTCACCTCAATAATTATCGATAAAATTATCGCAAAGTAGTCGCATCGCTAATCAAACAGGTTGTAAACAAAACTCAGAAAAATAGCTTCAGTTTAGTGAACAAAAAAGTAATACTCCTGCATGCTTGAGCTAAGATGCGTTTCCACATGAAGAGCGGCAGCGAGGAAAACGACATTGTGGCGGCCACAGCCACCGCCGAGCATATCCGCAAGTTCGTGTTTAGCGGATCACCCGCCGAGCGACTGGAGATCAAAATACCCGAGGTAATCCTTATAAACATGTGTTCTTGTAGTAACTAAAGTATTACAAATCCACCTACAGCTGCTTCAGGGTGCCTACTCCTTCTACACGTGGCCCTGCGCCCCAGTCCTAGCCCATTTTCTGTGGGAGCGGCGACAGACACTGGCCGGAAAGCGCATCCTGGAGCTGGGGAGTGGCACTGCCCTGCCCGGCATCGTGGCAGCGAAGTGCCGCGCCCAGGTAGTACTTACTGACAACTGCATTCTGCCCAAGTCACTGGCCCATATCCGAAAGTCTTGCCAGGCCAATCAGCTGCAGCCGGGCGTTGACATCGATGTGGTGGGTCTGAGTTGGGGCCTGCTGCTAAACAGTGTATTCCGGCTGCCGCCTCTGGATCTTATCATTGCAGCAGACTGCTTCTACGATCCTAGCGTGTTTGAGGACATCGTGGTCACAGTTGCTTTTCTGCTGGAGCGAAATGCCGGAGCCAAATTCATATTCACATACCAGGAGCGGAGCGCCGACTGGTCCATTGAGGCGCTCCTCAAGAAGTGGAAGCTGCAGGCTTTGCCCATCAGCATGGACGACATTGGCAAGGAGTCGGGTGTGGATCTGCTAGAGTTTATGGGTGGACACACCATTCATCTTCTGGAGATCATGCGCGTCGATAGCGAAGGCACAATAAATACTACATAACAATTAAACAAATGGGTTTTTGTTTGCTGATCAATCAATCTTATTGTTCTGTTGACTTACAGAGGGATTTATTACATACATTTGCTCCCAAACATATTGATTAAATAATTGTATATTCGAAAATAATTTGTTTGTAATATCTGTTTGGAATCCATGTTGGTCAAAAAGGAATACATGTTATACATGTTTAAAATTTGGCGCGTACTTATCCAAGTTTTCCACCCAGGCACACAAATTCAGGGCTTGCAGGGAATGCTACAATTGTGATTAGCGGCCACACTGGCGGAACGACGCTGTTGAAGAACTGCGAAAATTATTATTTATTTACCTCGCGCGAAACCAAGTGAAATCTGCTGCACAAAAGTGCCTCGAAGTGCTGCAAACGTAATTAAGTTATTCTTTATTGTTGCTACATTACTTGGCATCCCGGAAAAACGCCCGTCGGTGTGTCTTTGTCAGATTAGTGTGCGTGTTCTGTGTTGTGCCGTGTGAGTGTTGGTGGGTCTTCGCCTGTGAAAAATCGAAGTTATTGCATTGCGCAGCCCTTTCAAACCGCTGTCCCTGGCCAGCTGTCTCTACGGCGGTACTTGGATCGCAATACTGATGGTGAGTGTGCTAGTGCGTGTACCGGAATGCACTCGGGTGCATCGCGATTTTGTGGCAGGGCGTCGTTATTTGTTTGTCGCTAAAATGGGCGATATGTGGTTCATTTGCGGCTCTCAAGTTGCAGGCACTGGAAATTAATAGCCGCAGTAACCATTACCGGTTGGTTGGAACGGTAAACGACGGCATATTCCAGACGCACAGCCCACAGGAGAAACATTTGTTGTTGCCTGCGGTACGATCCGTTAATTCGAACTTGAGAGCGTCGGTGTGCGTGAGAGCTTAAAAGAGCGCTTAAGAATAATATTGAAAGAGCGAGATAAAGAGATAGGGAGAAACACGGCGCGGGCTAGTCCGACATGAAAAATGCTCTACAAAAACTGGAGCACAATAAATCTAGCCCAGGGACGCAACAAAACAATATTAAAGAGGCAAATGCATGAATAATAAATGGAAGTGATGGAAAATCCACGCCTTAATCATTCGCAGTCTTGCGTGTGCGTCTGGATCACCTTTTGTAGTGTTGGTGCAAGGGGGGTGTTGCCCTGCCCCTAATTTATTGTCTGAATAAAACGCGCTATTCAGCGACATGATATCACCCATCCTGGGTGACAAGCCCACCAACCTTTTCAGAAAATCCAAATTTACACTCTCCTATTTCTGTTTCTATTTGCCAAATAACTGCACTTAGAGAACGACAATCTAAATATGGCCGACCCATTTACTTTTTACCGCCCCTCGAGCGGAACGGATGGATGATGCTGATTCCTTGGCCTTCGGTATTTCATAGACTATTAAGCTCAATTTTAAAACATTAGCTCGATGACTCCTGACATCCAGAATAGTTCTGCTTCATTGGGATTTAAAGAACTTTTTTTTTTATATAGAAATATTTCGAATTGAGTTGCTTTTTATACATATTATTTTTTGTTCCGTAGAATGTTGGTTGAGACAACTGCTTGCGCCCGAGACCATTGAGGACAATCCGCTGCTCACTCAAAATCGAGTAGCGTACGAAACACCACACGATGGCCGAGGATACAGAGTACAAGAAGTTGCCGGTGGAGGAGCGGTGTGTCCATAAACTATGGAAAGCCCGCGTCGATGGTTACGAGGAGGCCGCAAAGATCTTTCGCGAGTTGGATGACGAGAAGTCGCCGGAATGGTCTAAATTCGCAGGACTCATAAAAAAGATGGTTGTTGACTCTAATGCTCTGGCCCAGGAAAAGGGTCTAGAAGCTGCCCTCATCTTTGTGGAGAACAGCGGCCTGGCCGGACGCACAGTAGGCGACGTGATGACTGGCATTGTACAGAAATGCATTGCGGCTCCAAAAACAAAAACCAAGGAGCTCTCCGTCCAAGTTGCACTCATGTATGTGGAGATAGAGAAGCAGGATGCAGTCGTCGAAGAGCTGGTTAAGGGTATGGAGGCGAAGAACCCTAAGATTGTATCCGCCTGCGTGGCAGCTACCACACTGGCCCTCCGGGAATTCGGACACAAGGTGATCGGCGTCAAGCCGTTAATTAAAAAACTTGCCCCGCTGATGTCTGACCGAGACAAGGCGGTCCGAGATGAGGGCAAGCAGCTGGCTGTAGAGATTTACCGTTGGATCGGAGCTGCCATGAAGGCACAGATCTCAACGTTACCACAAGTAACGCTCAAGGAGCTGGAGGATGAGTTCGACAAACTGAAAGGGGAACGCGTTGAACCCTCCAGGTGAGTTTAAAGATTTCCCTCTATCACTACTTTCCTGAACCACTCTTCCTTTTAGATATCTAAAGTCCCAGCAGGAAAAACAAGCAAAGATCGCAGACGCAGCAGCGACTGAAGATGCCTATAATGGTATGGACTCCTTTCTGTTACGAAAGCAGTGAAATATAGATTTATTTTTGTTTTCGTATGTAGAAGAGGATGGCGAGGCTGGCGTTGAAGAAATCGATCCTATGGATCTTCTAGACCCCGTTGACATTCTCTCCAAAATGCCCAAGGACTTCTACGATAAGCTGGAGGAAAAGAAATGGACTCTGCGCAAGGAATCTCTGGAGGTCCTGGAGAAGCTGCTCACGGACCATCCCAAGCTTGAAAATGGCGAGTATGGAACGCTGGTAAGCGCTCTTAAAAAGGTTATTACCAAGGACTCAAACGTAGTCCTCGTTGCAATGGCCGGAAAATGTCTGGCCTTGCTAGCCAAAGGATTGGCCAAGCGCTTTTCAAATTACGCATCTGTAAGTAATTCTTACCTTTGTCCAAATAACGCCTTTATATATGTGTACATTCTTCTCCTTCAGGCTTGTGTCCCATCCCTGTTGGAGAAATTTAAAGAGAAGAAACCTAATGTTGTGACAGCACTGCGTGAGGCTATCGATTCTATATACGCCTCCACTTCTCTAGAGGCCCAGCAAGAGTCCATTGTAGAGTCCCTGGCCAACAAAAATCCAAGTGTCAAGTCCGAAACAGCCTTGTTTTTGGCCCGTGCCCTAACCCGCACCCAACCAACCGCGCTAAACAAGAAGCTACTTAAGCTACTAACCACCAGTCTAGTAAAAACGCTGAACGAGCCAGATCCTACTGTTCGCGACAGCAGCGCCGAAGCTCTTGGTACTTTGATGAAGCTAATGGGGGACAAAGCAGTGACTCCCTTGCTAGCCGACGTTGATCCACTCAAAATGGCCAAGATAAAGGAGTGTCACGACAAGGCGGAGATCAAAATAAAGGTTGCAGGGCCAAAGAAGGAGGCCCGACCCGCATCTGCACCGACTGCAAAAGCGGCTGCTCCTGCAAAGGGTGGTAGTCTGGATCCTAAGCCTGTAACCCGACCGGCCACCACAGGGGCACGTAAGGTTTTAAAAAAGCCGGCGGCTGTTGTTGGAGGAGGAGCTACATCTAACCCTGCGGCAGCTTCTAAAGCAGGTGGAAAAACCCTAGCCACGGAACGCGAATTAACCCCCGAGGACTTGCAGGAAAAATCCGAGGAAATTCTGCCAGCCGAGGTACTTAATGGGTTGGTGGACTCCAACTGGAAGAACCGCCTTGCTGCTGTGGAACAGCTTCTGGGCGAAATAACAGGCTTTGATGCAAAACAGGCTGGCATATCACAAATCCTAATCCGAACAATCAGTGGACGCAAGCCGGGCCTCAAAGAAATGAATTTCCAAGTACTCAAGTTTAAACTAGACATAATCCGCAGTGTGGCTGAAAATTATCCGCTGACAACGACAACTGTTGATCTTGTGATTAACGAAATAACCGAGAAACTAGCAGACGCCAAGAATGGTGCAGCAGCTGCCGATGTTTTGTCGGCCTTTGCCGAAGCCACTAAACTGGAGTACGTTGTGGGCAAAGTGTTGAGCTTTGCCTTCGAGCAAAAATCGCCTAAAGTGCAATCAGAGGCCTTTAACTGGGTTGGCAAGTCAATCA